TCACTATTATAAACTTAAGGCAGCGATTCTATACCACGGTAAAAGTATTTCCGATGGTCATTACACGAGTATGAAAAAGGGTAAGGGCACAACATGGGTAGCCGTTGATGAATTACGAGTAGAAAAATAAGAATGGCCACGAAATGCTAAAAATCCATACAAATTTTTCTTCGAAAGGTGTTAATTGTGATTGTTATTACAATTCAATGTTCAATACGTTTAGCGCCATAAACTGCTTCGCGCATCATGTACTGTACACAAAGTACTATACATATTATATAAAAATTAATTGAAGTCATTCACCATGCAGATTATCTTTGTAAAAAGAAGTGAGATCCCCATAAAAAAAACTATAAAAAGGACAAAAATTACGCCAGTACATGAAAAAGTGGAGGACGAAAAGGAGTAATCATAAAAAAGAAGATCCCCATGAAAAACTACAAGAAAGTCGACAAATTGGCTAGACAAGGTCAAGGTGTCAATGAATAAAAATTATTTTAAAACGCAATATAATGAAAGTGTACTCATATTGTCAGAGTTTTAAACTGACAAATTATCTATAGTTTTTTATGGTTAAATATACTGTGGTAGGATGAACATTAAAAGCCCCCAAAAAAATAAAAACCATTTGTTTTTATAAATTAAAGAAGAATATCGTGCTGTGAATATTGAAAGATCGATTAATCAAGGAATTTTTTGAATAACTCATTTCTATAGCGTTCCAGATCAATGAAACAGAAATATTAATGTGAATATAAGCCGGATATATGCACTGGAGTAAATGATTAAATTTTAATCGAGGTTGTGAGCAATTGTTCGGTATACAGTACTTTAAATTATAAACGAGACCGATAAATTTCTCTTGAAGAAAATTTCTGTGAAAGTTTTCAATGCCAGAAAAAAAAACATTATTATATTTACACCAGTATTTAAATATTCATAGTTACTGTATAATTTTTAACGACAATTTTATTTTCAACTTTCCTCACATATTTCTCTTACTCATCTCAATTTAAAATATATTCTATACATAACTATCATTTTTTTCTAAATAACTACATTACTATATGGAAAGTATAGGAATATGTAGAGTCTCTAATAATTCTATAAAGCAGTCGTTGAAATTACAATTAACTTATATATAAAAAAAAAATATTTAATATTTAAACATTAAAATAAGCATAATGACAATTTTAAGTTACTTTAATTATCAAAGATTTGATTTCAAATATGTCATCAATAAAATACAAACTCGTTTAATGACAACAAAAATCAATAATTACAACCCAATTAAATACGAGGCATAAATCATTATTAGCTCTTCGTCCAATATTCATTTAACACGATAATTATCAGAGTTGTAATTGATGTAAATTATCTGAATAATTCGGTATCCAAGAACTTCTTCGCAAGGACTTGAGTGACAAGCTTGTTAATTAAAATATTTGTTACACGAACACAGGGAATATCAAGAATTAAACACGATACGAGGGACGAGGAACTGATTTCAGGGAATTAATTCGTCGCGTGTGTATGCATAGTATGTCCCTTTCCATTTGGCCATTATTCACCCCGTCCATGTCATTCAGCATAATTCGATATCAAGTAATGCTGTTCGTTACCGGGTCCATTGATACGGAAATAGGCCAAAAGATTAATGCGCGACGAGATCCTAGAATTGCTGCCACGACTGACCATGTACTACTATGATAAAAAAATACTAAGGCCGATTGCACACGACGCAACCGATTTGAAATTAGTGTTGCAAACCGTTTGCGCCCTTCGTTTTACCTACTCCACTATCTTTGTTTTACCTAGATCCACGGTCGCATGCAATTAGTTTCAGAGTGGTTTGAAACTGATAAGTTGCGCCCGTGTGTGATCCGCCTTAAGGTTGATTCAGACTATACGACGCGGACTGGTATGTTCCGGCAACGACACGTACCGGCACCGACACGACAAAACATTA